AAGCCGAGACTCTGTCTCAAAAAAAAAAAAAAAAAAAAAATATATATACTTATATATATATATATATGTGAGTTTTAAGTAAGAGAAACTGAAAAAATATGTATACATATATTGTTAATAAATAGCTATTAAAATAATTTTTATGTTTTAACAAAGATGATACGATAGGAGATATTCAACTGGATGAAACACATCAAGCTCTTTATTCAGGAGGAAACAATATCAAGTAACTTTAGACTTTTAGAAAAAAATAATTATATATGGTAAAATTTTAAGTACATACCTATTATCACCACTATTATAAGACCTATTGAAGATGATAGATAATAGATTACAAAAAAATCTGGTATAATTATTGAAAAACAAAAGTTAAAGCTATTCTTACTTGTTAATGGGGTATGACTGTACAATTAGGAAACTGAAAACACTAGTAGGAAAAGAAACTTCTACAATTAATAAAAGAAGTTGGTGATGTAGCTAAATAAGATGAATATTCAGAACTCAAGATTTTTTTTTTTAATTTATGAGCAGTAAGTGTTTGCAAATAGAAGTAGGAACAAATATTCTCTTCACAATGGAAGCAAAAACCATAACATAAATAGCAATGAAAATAAGGACTATGACTTACAAGAAGAAAAATATAAAATGTCACAGAAGGCAATAAAACATCTGAATAAATGGAAAACATATGAAGGTACTTATAGGAAGACAATGTTATAAAAATGTCATTTCTCCCAAAATTTACATATATCAAAATCCAATATGAGTCCTTCAGGAATAGATCAAAGTCATGCCCAAAGCCTGATTTATTTAATAATCAGTGATGGTAAATAAAAATAAATAAAGACAATTTATTTAATAATCAGTGATGGTAAAAACTAGCTAAATAACTGGAAGAAAATAAAATTAAGCCATTAGTTCATAAGTTCATATCATATGTAAAAAAATCCAGATGGATTAAAGATTAAAAAAAAGAAAATAAAACAAAAACCCTAAGGAAAACCAAAACAGGAATGAAAAACAGACCTTAGAAAAAATTAAAATATTGGTATGTCAACAAGAAACATAAGTAAAATCAATACATTTGACAGATTTTGAAAAAAATTTATAAAGCAGATTTTTTTTTTTTTTGATACAGAGTCTCGTTTTGTCACTCTGAGCAGAGCGCAGTGGAATTACAGCAGCTCACTGCAACCTCAGACTCCTAAACTCAAGCAATCCTCTCGCCTCAAGCTTCGGAGAAGCTGGGACTACAGGCATGTCCCACCACGCTCAGCTAATTTTTCTATTATTAGTAGAGATGGATCTCGCTCTTGCTCAGGCTGGTCTTGAAAACCAGAGCTCAAGCAATCCTCCCACCTTGGGCTCCTAGAGTGCTAGGATTACAGGCATGAGCCACTGAACCTGGCCCAGATTGATTATTTATAAAGGCTAAATACCTATTATAGTCTAAAAGCTTCCATAAGTTGACTAGACAAGGTGTAAGAGAAATGATCAAAGGATGTGCATGGGCAATTCAAAGAACAACAATTCCAAATGACTAGAAAACATATTAAAAGATGCTCAGACCAAATAGTAGCTCATGGAAATGCAAATTAAAGTAATTATAAGATATCTTTTTATAGCCACGAGACTAGACTTAAAAATTGAGTGCTAACAGCTACTGGAAACCATGGAAGAAGGGTACTTTAATGTCTGGCCACAAGAGGCAGTATACTGACTTGGTTAGGATGGTAGGCTCTTATCACCCGAGTGATCTTAAGCAACATCTAACTCCAGATTACTTATCTGTGAAATGATAATAAATATATCACAGAAAGAGTGATAAGTACTAAAGTACATACCTTTGACACATCAAACACATTCTTGGGAATTTATCCCACAGCAATAAAAGTATCAGACTGAAGCTACTTA